CACACACACAAGCACAAGACAGCAGAAGCTCATAATTCCAACAATGAGGATAAGGTTGCCCTGTGTAGGGATCAGTATTACTGTAAAGTACCGCGAGAGCGCCCCACCTTGATTTTACAACCAGAGGAAGGAAGATCGTTTGGCAGAGTGCGACGAAGTTTGTACGATGTGAGAATCTTAGTGTACTAACGTCACACTTGGAAGGTTGTTGTGTGTAGCTTGTGTCCGCTCGAAGGTACGGATTGACTGCAAAACGTGCAATATGTGTACAAGGTTCATGTCGTATGACCTACAGACAGCAGACCACCTCCACAATACGACCACGAAAGGATGAGATGGTGGGGCGCTCTGGCTGTACTTTACGGTAGTGGTCAAAAGTCTCTACAGGCCTTGGCAGGTGTGCTTGTTCATGATTCGAATTTCTTGCTGCACACAACTTGCTCCGGTGAATTCATCTAGACTCACCCAGTTTGTTATCTGCTGATGTGTATGTACGGGTGTGTGCGGATGCGTGCTCGTGTGTGTGTGTGTGTGTGTGTGTGTGTGTGTGTGTGTGTGTGTGTGTGTGTGTGCGTGCGCGCGCGCGCGCGTGCATGCGTCTATATGTGTTTGTGTGTGAGTGGATGGACGTTCGTGTGTATGCGTGTGTTGCTCTTTTTGCTATGCTGGGCAGACGAATGAGTCGCTTGAAGTCACCCAGTTGCAGTACTTGGACTGGCCTGACCATGGTTAGTACTGCTGGATGCTGGCTGTGCTGGGCGCTGGGTCTCTCTATGCTGTATAGTATGCTGTATGCGCTCAGTCATCCCTCCCCCACGAGTAAATTGTGCTTCAGATGGCTTCCCGTAGCACACTAAATTACCTTCCGATGGTGCCCCTGTAGTTTTACCAAGCACCCGACGGTGCCCCTGCAGTTTTACCAAGCACCCGACGGTGCCCCTGCAGTTTTACCAAGCACCCGACGGTGCCCCTGCAGTTTTACCAAGCACCCGACGGTGCCCCTGCAGTTTTACCAAGCACACTACAGTCCATCTACCTAGTAATGACCCTCAGTCATGCTTGAGAAAAGTCAAAGAGTTGGTGGACAAGCCGTTGATTATCCACTCCCATTGTAATATCAAAAAGCATTCTTTCTAGACCAAAGAGTGGTATATTTGATAAATAAAGATAGAAATATTTACGATACTTCTCCAGACGTTTCGTTGTTCTGAACAACATCGTCAGTGGATAAAGAATGAACAACGAAACGTCTGGAGAAGTATCGTAAATATTTCTATCTTTATTTATCAAATATACCACTCTTTGGTCTAGAAAGAATACTTCATGAGAAAAGTGTCGCTAAATGGCTAAACGAGACCCCAAGTACGAGGAGTCGACTTATAATTGTTTGGATACAGTAGTTTTGTTGAACAATTGAGTAGTTAGCCTAACCAATCAACTGATCTCTTTACCTCCCATATGTTGTGATAGGTGAACCAGAAGACTCTGCGGACTTTATCAACTTTGTGCTGGAAGCAAACAAGTTGCGGATACCTGGGCAGGATCTCCTTGTTCACTGCAGGTAGGTGCTGTCTGTCCGTCCGTCCGTCCGTCCGTCTGTCCGTCTGTCTTTCTCTGTGTGTGTGTATGTATGTGTGTCTGTCTGTCCATCCGTCCGTCCCTCCCTCCTGTCTGTATGTCGAAGTGTCTCCCGAAACACTGTGTATTGAGCAGGGAGTGGTGCTTCCTCGTAGGTTTGCCAAGTGCCCGATGTGATAGGCTCCTTGTGTGATGTGGATGGCAGTAGTGTGTCAGTCAGGGGGGGGGGGGGGGTCTAGTTCGGCAGGAGGCAGGTGTTCCACGTAGGCGCAACCAACTTCATGTATTAATACCGCCGAAGTTGCTGCATGCACTTCTGAGTTAGGTGAAATTGTAGTAAATTTACTTGGTCCGCCCAGTTAAAATTGGCGCTTATCTTCACACTTGTCTCAGGAAAGAAATACTAATATTTGAAGCAAGCCACGATCACAAAGCACTATATACATGATTATTTACATGTCAGTAAGCAACTCAGTCGAAAATTCAAGCAAGTTACACATCCTCCTCGCCACTATCGTCGCTGGAGGAAGAGCGCAAAACGTACGATCCGGACAGCTGCTGCACGGGTCGTTTCATAGCTTGTTCCACTTCTCCTCGTCTCGAATCACGCTCAAAGGCAGTGCGTGCCTGTCACCTTCCCATCAGAAGCTGAGTGAGACTGCCCGCATGTTGACTGTAAGTGTTATCCCCGTTCGTCGCAATAATGCGACTTTGTTTGAGACAAAAAGGCAACGCCATATCAGTGTCCTTTTTTCAAATCGCCTCTTGCGCTTGTCGTACTTGCTGATCAGCACCCACGCGAGCCGCTGGTGCTTGTACATGCAGCGCAGTGATAGCTTCCGCTTGATGTAGCACCTGTGCGTACTGCACCTACAACGCCGTGCACCAGGCTTTTCGGCTAGTTTCCTGAAAGTCCTTTGCACGAGTGTTTCTCTCAGGACTTGGTGTTTCCTTTGATTAGCTCCTTTGCCCTGTCCTCTGTGAGCTTCAAAGTGTGTCCGCCGGATTGGTCTCACTTACTGGAGACATCGACATGAGCTGCAGTTTCTTCGTCAGCGATTTGCTGGTGATAGCCCTTCACTAGGCGCTGTACTGTGCAAGCACTGAAATTCAAGCTCGCGAAGCCCTTTTTCAGCTTTTCTATACCTCCCCGGGGTAAACAATCCTTGCCATCAGACAGCTGGAAGTAGACAGAAACTGTATTCTCCATCGCTCTGAAATGCGAACATCCTGACCTATTTTACGGACTCGAGCGGAGGTTGCAGTGTTTTCTCGCGCTGACGGAAGTGTTCGTCGGCGGCAGCTCCGTCAAAAAGACACAAACGAACCGATCGCAACTTCTGTGATGGTTTGTGCTGCCATGTCGTCGGATGCAATGGTCAATGGTCATGTTCGGATGGTGAATCGGTGGTTCCATGCCGTGTGGCACAGGCAGAACACCAAAAAACCAAGTGAGAAGATAAGCGCCAATTTTAGCTGGGCGGACCAAGTAGTTGTGTTGTCCATAAGGGTGATTTTATCATTATAAGGCTCATATAGTCGCCTTGTTGCTGTCACAGTGCCCCCCCCCCCCTCCCCCTGTACTCATTGACACCAGTAACATGCTCGTCTGTGTGTTTCTCGGTGTGTACATCTATCTCTCTGCCCTGTATACGCAGTGCCGGTGTGGGTCGCACGGGTATGTACATCTGCATGGAGTCTGCACTGGGCATGATGAAGAACCAGGAACCAATCTACCCGCTGGAGATAGTGCAGACCGTGCGCGATCAGCGGCCAATGGTTATCCAGACTTCGGTAAGAACCTCTCCTTTGTAGGCTGCAATCATTTTCAAGGATCCCAGGCCCTGGGCCGTTGGTGATAACAGTGTGCTAGTGTTCAGTGTCGAAACTCTATGTTGACTTTCTAGTTGAGGTTTTGAACCTGGAAACCTGATCTTTGGGGCGTTGAACCTGGAACTCTGCCTTTGGGGTTTTGAACCGGGAATTCTGGCCTTTGGGTCATTTTGGACCTGGAACTCTAGCCTACCTGGAATTCTGGTCTTTGGGGTTTTGAACCGGGAACTCTATCCCCGGGGTTGTTGCAGCTGGAATTCTGGTCTTTGGGGTTTTGAACCGGGAACTCTATCCCCGGGGTTGTTGCAGCCTGAATTCTTCTGGTCTTTGGGGTTTTGAACCGGGAACTCTATCCCCGGGGTTGTTGCAGCTGGAATTCTGGCCTACTGGTGTGTGCGTATTGACTGCGCAAGGACTGCTAGGGGGCTCATCATAAAGTTACAGGGTTCGGTTGCCATTGAGCATGATCGCAGTTGAGAGTGCGAATGTCATACGTTCTGGCCTTCTTTGCACTTTCATTGGTGTTCTCCAGCAACAATACCAGTTCGTGTGCCGCGCCATTCTCAAGGCTTTCAGCGGTAAGTGAAAGACCTTGTGGCGTTGTTACTTTACGGTCATCCGTATGAAGAACACCCGGGTTCTCATATTCGCTCCTGGTAGTCTGTCTGTACATAGAATAGAAAGAGGCGGCAATTTGCCCCAATATGTATAATATCATGTGTGTGAGCGCAACGCGATGATACCAGGTTCCCTCAAGCGATCTCCACATATTAGGCGCAGGAACACAGCGAAGTCTTCTCCAAGCCCGGTGTGCAAACTGATTCGCCCCTCAACGCCATTCCACTTTCCTCCATCGCAGAATACACAAATATATTTGAGACGATTCGATTAAGTTACTTCAGGCAGCTATGTTATTACGTCACTAGCTTGTGCTCAGTCGCTCCAAAGGCACGCAAAAAAAGATTTTTCCCCAAAAATGGCGATGGGTATAGATCGAATATTTGAATTTTCAGAGATACGAATTCGGCATGGAATACCTCTGGGAGCCGCACATCCCAGATCTTTGGTGATTGTTGCATTGGAGAGCTTGGTGTGTCCGCTACCACGTAGACCCTTCGATCGTTGAATTTGAACAAGAAATGACAGAGTTATGAAGGTTTAACCGTAGGTGTTGAAGGTTCCATTTTTGCAAAATGGTAAAAAATCCCTGCGTAACCGTCGATCAAACGGTTATCCGTTTGTTTTGGGCGCTAACGGTTACATAACCGGCTATTCGTAATAACCGCTCCAGCCCTAATAATGTTGTACATTCAAAACCAAAAAATTAGCTATGGTGACTTTCGACACCTCCCCTCTACACTCCAATGCGTTGAGCAGGCGTATTTTGCTACATTCTGCTAACTGCTGTTTATCTATGTGTGTCCACGATGTTCGGGTGTGTGTCCATGATGTCTGCGCATTTCCATGATCTTTGTGTGTCTGTGTCCATTTCTGTTTGCCTGTGTGTGTGTGTGTGTGTGTGTGTGTGTGTGTGTGTGTGTGTGTGTTTGCAGAGGGCATGTACAAGAGTTTCGTACTGCCGTCACCATCATCGTCATCGGCCCCCGCCGCCACCGCTGCCACCGCATCTCTAACCCAGTCGGTTGCCTCGGCACCACTGCAGGCTGTGGATGAGACGGACGGTATACTCCCGACGGCCATTCACCATGCCGACGAGAAGAAGAAACAGGTTGTGCAGCAACGCCGTCACGAGAGTGAATCCGAATCCGACGGTACGTGAGGTTTCCGGTACTGGCCGCATGTGTGTGCGTGTTGGGGGGGGGGGGGGGGGTGTGCGTGCGTGCATGTGTTTGTGTGTATGTGTGTGTATGTGTATGTGTGGGTGGGTGCGTGCGTGCGTGCCTACATGTGTGTCCACGGGCGTGTTCGTGTGTGTGTGTGGGGGATCTGAGCATCTTATGCACCTGCAACAGCACACAGTTCAGGCATGGGGACGGTGTGAAGCTCAAAGTGGTAGGCTAAAACACGCAACCTTCAATACCGTGATAATTAGCCCATATAATTATGATTGATTACTACAACCATCGTAACTTCATCATTAAATTTTCTTGGTCAAATTCAACAATCGAAGGATCCTCATTGTACGTAGTAGGGGAAACTCCAAGCTGTCCAGTGCAACAGTAAAGGGATAATTATCATGCTGTTCTGCTGTGCCTCCATCTCACTCTTGTCGTGTACAGACTCGGACAGTGACAGTTCCGACTCGTCCGACGACGACGATGACGAAGATGACGATGGAGCGGAGAGGATAGATGACATTCGTCTGAACCCGCTGGCCATGGATGATGATTAGGCTGCCAGCCCGTCGCCCCCATCCACCGTCTACAGTGACTATGCGTGCACGTGTGTGTGTGTGTGTGTGTGTGTGTGTGTGTGTGTGTGTGTGTGTGTGTGTGTATGATTGTATTGTGCACGAGTCTTGTGCACTCGGCTATGCATGACCTTTACGCATGACCTTTATGCGGAGATCCAAAGCGTGTAGTTCCCATTATGACGCTGACCGGGCCTATGCGATCCAGATTTTATGATGTACATTTTTACCCGCTCCCCGTACGTTTTCACCCTTTCCTGGAAGGAGCTGGAACCCTTCCGTGTTTACCCATTGTCTTTAGCAATTCATACTGCCGTACATTTAGCCAAGTTCCGTGTTGCTGGCACTTGCCCACTGCCCTATAGGCGGTCCTCCCCCACCCTTTCTGAACCAGCACATACTTGCATGGTGGCAATTGCCCGGTGCCTGGCGGCACGAAGGTCGTCAATCCATGCTGTAGAGTGTGTTACGCCCTGGCACGGCATGGCATGACGCTCATCACTGCCCCAGGTCTCGCCCTGTCCTTGGGCACGGTTGAGATGTGCTGCTCAAGCCGGTGCCTCGGTTTGATCACGCTTGGGTACCGAGCATACCTATGTTCCTTTCTCGTCTCTTCCCCTGCGTAGCTAAGTACTGGTACAGAGATCAGCTTCCACCCCACTCCCTACCACCCCGAACACACACTCGCGCGCACACACACACGCACACGTTCGCACTTCATGGGCTTTCCCCCCTTTCCTTTGTCTTACGACTATCCGCCTTCTCCCCTTCTTCCCATCGTTGCATAGCATGCATCTACATGTACTTGTGAATAGGAACCATTATCAGAGCTAATATTCAATCACAGACCACACACTGTTTGTTGCATATCCATCTGTTCATTGTCAGTTGGTCGTCCATCCGCGTCGGCCTTCTTCTTCGTCTTCATTCTTCTTCCTCATTCTGAGCAGAGCTTATCCAATCCTAGTCGGCTAGTTGGTGTTGCTTGTTAGATTGTTGGGCAAGTTACTCCCGGCTCTTCATCGCCAACCTGCTTTGAGCTTATACTAAGTTTGTAATGCATTCCGATAATCTGTAGAAGATTATGTTTTCCAAAGTGATCAGTCCTTGATGTGTTCTCTTCGTGTGTGTGTGGGGGGGGGGGGGGGTATGCTTGCATGCATGCCTGCGTGCGAGCGTGTGTGTGTGTGTGTGTGTGCGCACGCGCGCGTGTGTGCATGTGTGTGTGTGTGTGCGCGTGCGTACGTGTGAATCCTCGTGTGACTGGGAGACGGCTGGTGCACACAGAGAGCATGATGCTGGAGATGTCCTCTCCCTGTTCGAAATCTCTCCAAACACTCGCCAGGGATTAGCCTTGTTCCCATCTAATTCCGCAGTGCATGTGTTATGTACGGACTTGGGGAATCCTGTTGCCCTATGCTCTTGAAGTGCCCTATATGTACCTTCCTTGCCATGGCTGTAGCAGAGAGATGCGCAGAATGATTGTCTATGTAGAACCTTAGCTCACCAGGACTTGTGGTATCATGTCGGTGTCCTCGCTGATGTCTTCTTAGTATTCCCACTGGGAATGTTGGTGTGTGATTGATCATACCCAGCAGTCCTGCATGTTGGTGTGCGATCGACCATTTATCTACGCATCGTCCGTCCGTAATGAACCGGTGTGCATTATTATTGTGTGTACAGTCATGTATACATGTATAGGACTCTCATTATTTCAATGGACAGTCACTATAATATTATTAAAAGCATGTCCGCGTAGGTGGCGGGGGTGCCACTTTCGCTTATGCCATTCAGGATTGATGTCTGAAGAGTAATACGATACAATGAAATGACAGAAGTGACGTCAACAAAAGCCGTTAGCAACAACACCAATATGACTAATGGAAAACTTCATCCAAAGTATAAAATAAAATAGAATATGCATACAACATGTCATATGCATACAACATGTCATGTCAACATGCATACAACATGTCTGGTCAGTCCTGTTAGGACAGTCACTACTATGCGGAATGTTCAAATGTCAGTATCCCAACCTAGTATTGTAGCTAGTGTTGATAGTGTGATGGTCAGTGGTGTTGCCTGGCATTCAGGATACTCCAGGTTCTAATCTGACTCCTTGATTTTTTAGCTAAAAAGGCGGACTATTAGTATTAGCCTCAGAATGACGCAGTTGTGATGATGCATGCCTGTTGATCTATGGCTGCCATGGCTGGATGTGTAGTAGTAAAAATCTTGACCTGAACGCGAGTAATGAAATCTTGACCTGGATCCGAGTAGTAAAATCTTGACTCAGCATGGTGCGATGTACACACAATAATAATATTATAGTCCTTTTGCGCATTACGTCATTGGGCACGCGTAACGGAAAAATTTGAACCTAATGGGTGTCGAGGAATCTTGGCCATTAGGCGATTGTATTACTTTAGATGGTTTTGCAGAATATTTTATGGCTATTTGGTTCTTTGGCTCTTGGCGAAGCCTTGTTTTGTAGATTTCGACACCTCTGTTGCCCTTTATTAGTGGCGAAGCTGTGTAGGCTATGAGCTGGAGCCGTGGAAGTCGCGATTTTTGACTGATTTGGAGCACCGATGGCTGTCCAAAGTCACAAATGTACTTCTTGAACCAGTCGAGTGTCGTCGTTGGAAGAATGGAGGACCTGTACTCTTTAGTCGAAGCAGACGTTCCCGGTGCTTCTCTGAGTGGTCGTAAGCCAAGGGATCTGCACGTACCAGAGTTGAAAAGGTGGCTGGCGTGCCGTGGTGCGTCTCGTCGTGGAGAGCATGCGGAGCTTGTGAAAAGGCGAGTTTCTGATACATGTGCTGACATTTCGTGAGATTTATTTCGAAATACATATCGTAGCCCTTCGATCCATGGATATTCCTTGTGAATATTGATTATTATTGGCTGTTCATAATACAAAATTTGAGAAAGCCATCGACGATGTTCGACTCTGGTGCTCTGCAGGGTACAGCAGTTATTTATTTTACTTGTCACTGTGGAGAACTGTGGAGAAGCTTTGTCATATTTCGTACTTAGGCAGTTTTATTGGACGGCATGAGATGATTATGAAGCAACTTGTCAAAGAAATTGAGCATTAGTGTAATAATCAGGATAATAATTTTGTTTCCCGGCGACCTTTCGTTTGCTGTTATTAATCGAGCAACTCAGCCCTAAGACTTACTGCGAATTGCATTTCTCTTTTCTTCATGTCTCTCTTGGTGTAACAGGGTTGAAGACTATGTCAAGGAAGGATTGGACAAGAAAATTATCGATCCAGACAATGGTTCCAATATGGAGCGCAAGCGGCGCCGACTTGAGCAGGATGCAGACTCAGGCAAGATACCAGCCGTAAATCTTGATAGTTCTGTTACCTTTCCAGAGTCGGGTTGGCAGTGCAGCTTGAAACAGCTCCCAACAGTCAGCTTTGCCTCGTTGTACAACCACTTTATCGAGAAGTCTGTACTGGTAGCAGCCAGGCAGTCCATGGACGTTGCTGTATCAACGTCTCCAGTTGATGCCGAGTCATCGTCTAGCGGAAGCGGCAGTCACAGTGACGTGTTCTCATCGTTCAAAGGTGTAGATAAGGGCTACAAGTTCTTCAAGGATGGCCATGTTCAGAAGATTGAACTTGTGACTCAAGAGAATTTTTCATTCGTTCGATGCAACGTGCTGCCATCAATGAAAAAAGATGCAATTTACAAGTGTAAGCTGTGCCTGCGTCCAGATGGCATGGTGAACCTTGCACTATGCACATGTACTGCTGGCTTGGGTGGTGTGTGCAACCATATTGCAGCCTTGCTCTATGCACTTGAGGAGTATGTGCGCATTGGGCTACGTGAGGAAGTTGACGATTCCCCACTTTGCAGGTGGAACTGACCCAGGCCTAGGAACGTCGTTCCTCAGCCAATTGTCGACGTCAGGCTGACAAAGGCTGCATTTGGCTCCCAGCGTCAGTCTGAAAAGCGTAAACCCGTGTATAACCCCATCCCACCGAACAAGCGTCTCGTCAAGCCTTCAGAGTTGACAACGTTTCGTGATGACCTGGTTGCAGCCCACGATGATGCCATATATCCGCACTAACACACCACCACAAAATGCATCCGCACACAAATATCCGGACAAACAATGGCCATGCTGCTGTGTCTGCGCTGTTCATATACTGTTTATCATAATAATACATCACTCCGTATCTGTCTTTTCATGAAATGGTATCACGATAGTGTGACTCCACCGAATTATCTGCATGTATTTTTTTAGTACTAGTAAATGCTTGGCTAAAATTCCCAAGCTCAGCTGCAGCTGTGTATAGTAATACAACTGTCTGATGAGTGTTATTTTCAATCACGAAGTTTTGAGTATCGAAAAAGAAAGACTTGCTTGTGTCATTGCCTTGTGAGAATTGTATTTTTAGTACATATATACAGAAGTACCCATCGTAGCAAGTACCGGCACGACAGAGTAAACGTTCGTCAATAAGTTCAAATGTATATACATGTATCAGCCATAAGCTGTACTATTATGCAAACAAGTTGTGATAATAGTGTCTGGATGAAGTTTTTATGCCACCAACAAGCCCTGGAAATTAGTCAACATTGCGCACACGTAAATAAGCTGGTCTAGAATGTCAAACATAGTATTATCAACTTCCTTGCCAACGATCTCAAAGCACTTGATCCTCTGCATTTTCCTTTCTACATGAATCCGTACAGCAGCAATTTTCTTTGTACCACACAAGATCTTGAGGGGTCATTTGGCGTCCTCCTTGGCGAAATGGGGGGATGTTCAGGCGGACCCCATGGCTAACAAGAAGATCTTGTATGTCAAAACCTTTGTCTGCCATAATGGAATCGCCATGCTCTAATAAACTGATTAGGCCGCTCTGTTCTGTGATGGCACGATCCGACACAGATCCTTCGAATACTTTCGAAACAAATGTCACATGGCCATGCGGTGCAATGCCGATAAGGCATTTTACCGTGTTGTGGTTCTTGTACGCCGACCACGTAGCACTCTGCCGCGCCAGCGATGATGGGATGTTAATGAAAAACTCTGTGCAGTCAATCACAACACAAGTTGTTGCATACCACTGCTTGAATGCAGGTGGCATCAATTTGTCTATTCTTCTCCTTGAAAGACAAGATGGAAGTTGACGAAACTTATGGTACATTAAATTTACCCAGGTTGTGACAGTGCGCGAGACAGTGGATGGGTGGACTTTAAACCTGTCGGCAAGGTCAACTTCTTTCAGTCCAAGACGAAGACGAACGAGGACGAGAAAGAACTGCTCCATCAGCTCTAGCTTCGGTTTACTGCCTGGTTTGCTGCCGTGTTGCATCGCGTCATCAGGTGCCGTCCGTGAACCCATCCACGTCCGCACCACCTTGGCGGAATCGTGCAGAAAGTTGAAGCACGCCATGAACATAAGGAACGATGAAAATCCAGTGTAGAAAGACAATAATTTCTGGTTATTTTTTACTCTGTGGATAGAGAACACATGTCTCTCTGCATCATTTAACTTGGCTTCCATGTCCTCTGTGGCCAAGCAACGACTTTTGAGGACCTCGTTCTCACTCTTGAGCAAATCCACTTCTGCTCTCAGCATTTCAACACATTCACAGTGCTGGTGTTCAACTGGTACTACATATACGTCTGGGGAGTCATCTGCAGAAGGGACAACATCAGTGGCAGTTGCAAACTGGGTGATGACACTGGAGGCGCCTTGAGCTGATGGCTTTGCCTTCTTTGCCGAGGGCAGCGCGTGTCTTTCTGCTGGTGGCTTGCGTTTAGTCACTTCAGCCAAGTTCAGGGCGAAAATGGAAAATCGTAGGTACGGCAGTTGGCAGAAGCCTTCGGCGAGTCTGTTGTGACTTCTTCTGCTCGGACGGTCGCTTGTGTGCTCCTGCGTGATATACCTCATCCGCGAAGTGCCGAGAACGCACTTTCGTGTGCTTCGTGATGGTGAAAGCGGCTCCTACATTCCTATGAATGTTGGCGATCCAACGCTTTCTCAGGTCTTTGTCTTCAGGAAAACTGTGGAATGCGACTGCGTCGTCTCCAGGTTTTCCGCTGTTGGAAACACACTGCGGAACACAGCAGTGATGAGGCATACTGTCGACAGGCTTATACAGGATACAGATCCACGCAGAACTACAGCAAGCCGTCAAAATACGACCAACCTATCAAACAAAATCAAACCACTTCAGCTTCTTCTCCAACTCGAGTCATGTCAAGGACACCCATTAGGTTTGAAAATGACCGTTACGCGATGATGTCATCGTCTAACGCGCAAAAGGACTATTGTGATGATGCATGCATGTCGAACTATGGCTGGCTGGATATGTAGTAGTAAAATCTTGACCTGAACGTGAGTAATGAAATCTTGACCTGGATCTCTGAGTAGTAAAATCTTGACTCAGTATGGTGCGGTGAAATCTTGGCTCTACATGGCCAGTTACTTCTGGCTAACAAGATAGGACCGGGATCAGGAAATAACCTCTTCATTTCTAACTGTTGTTTCTGTTTCAGCACTCGAGTAGATAAAGCGAACAAGAGATGGTAGAAAGGATGAACAAGGGATGTATTGTCGAAACTTTTTGGAAAAATTACGAGAAATTAGGCCACACTTTCTTTCTAAAAGCTGGAAGGCCACCATCCCCACCCTACCATCCTACACGAATAGTTTTTTATCAAGACATTCTAGCTCCAGTGGCCCTGTTTCCAAAAGTCGGTGACCATGGCAACAAACCGTGTCAACATTATGTGGACGTTGCCAACTGACTTTTTTGAGGCTGCTGGGTACTGGAACGCTCCGTTATGCCACATAACCTGACGCGGCACTCGCAGCAACCAACTATTCATCCCCATGGGTGCTACACTCCAATCGTGTTCTGACGGCCCACGAGGAAAGGTTGTTGTTCTCCAGACAGAATCAAAAACCAAATATTTCAAAAATCAAGAATATCTGCTTTAGTGTCCTTGGCAACGCAGACGGCGAGTAAATGCAATGCGTGAACGCATGTGCAGTGTTCCAGCAAAACAATAATATCAAAGTGAGTAACTAAAGACTAATTTTACGGCTTTCTAAGAATCCAGTAGAAGAAGGAAAGGAAAGACGTTTCTCAAGGTGTATCTGCGCGAGCTAATCCTAAGTATAAAATAGAAAGCTTAGAAGTTTGCCTAGAGGTTATGCTATTGACAGCAACTCTGCTCCGTGTATAATAGGTGCGGTGTCACAGTTCTCTCCTGGTCCAGGGAAATGCTGATTGCAATTATCAGAAGCCATGCAGCAGCGGCTCGCAGTAGCAGTATCATGAACTCAAGTTGTGTACACTGTGTGCCAACTAGTACATAGGCAACAATAGGGTTATGTAAAAAAATATTAAAATAAAAACAGACACAAACGATCTCGATTTTCAAATCATATACATATTCACAGTCTGTGTTTTCCAGTGTATCTCAGTCATCCACCCACACACTCAGCGACTCAGCGACTCTCTCCACGTCTGTGTTCGATATCTAATAGAACGCCGGCACCCCAGCATTACCCAGGTGGGCAGTGTGCTGCAAATAGTAATCCTCGCATTCAAACGTTCTCACCCTAGTGGCACTTTGACTGGCCGGCTGCATGGTCGATCTAATCCGATCGTACTCGACACGTTCTGTCCGATAGAAGGCGTCCGAACGTTGCTTCGTAACGGTAGGTTTTCGCACGAGCGCGGCTGCGTGTGACACGGGCGTGGATTGCGTGGTGACGCCGCGCTTGAACTGCGACTCATCCAGCGTGGCGGGCTGTTCCATAACAATCTCTGGCTGTGGTGGCAGCGGCTGTTTCACCATCACACCGTGTGATGCGTTTTCAACTGCAGCAGGCATCTTCGGTGCAGAATTCTGCGCTATTGTGTTTAGACCGGGTTTCCTTTCCAGCGTGGTGTCGGTCGAAGAAAGGAAATACGAGCTGCTGCCGTTGTGCTGCAGGTCCGGGACAGAGGAAGCGCCGCCCTCTGCCCGCAGGATGGCGTCTAGTTGCGAGAGTACGCGCCGCGGTGTGTTGCGCGTCGTCGTGTCGTCCGTGAGAGTGTTCTGCGACGGTGCCTCCTCCGGTGACGACATCTCCAGCAGCTGTTCCCGTGAGTCCGCGTTGGCCCCGGCCAGCACGACGAGGCTGCTGGCAGCGTGCGTGGTGTGCTCGGCGTCGGACTCCTCCAGGCGGCTGAGAGCGCTCTGAGACACGCTATCCAACGCTGGCTCGAACCCCTTCAGGATGTGAGCGGACAGCTTTCCCGGCGCCGTGCTCGACTTGCTTGCCACCGTCACTGTTGCCTGGTCGTCGTGGGAACTGTCGTCATGGCCGCGGTAGTACGGCAGCCGTGGCAGCGTACTGACGGAGTTCTCGTCCACCTTCCATTGCTCGGCGGCTGACTGGCGTTTGAGAGAGCAGGCCGAGGACTTCTGAACGGTGGGCATCTTGCGGACGTGACGCTTGGAAGAGCGACGAGCACTGCGTCTCATGCTATCCGGTGACTCAACACTCTGTTGCGACGCAGCACTGGTCTTGGCCTTGATAAGGGAGTAGCGGATGACGGAGTCGTCGGCGGGCCGTAGATAGTTACTCTCCTCCCCCGGTGGGGCGCCCCCGTCCATGTCCAGCTGCCCGACAAGGGCGTAGTGATCCGGCTCCTCCTCGGGCATGTCGTCGAGCTCCGTGATTGGTGTTTTCGCCGGTGCCTCATCCCCACCACTCGCCAATGCTGATCCCGTTCCCGGTGGTGTGGGTGTGTGATCGGATAACACGGTGTCGAGGCTGTCCGTAGAGCTGGCCGATAGCAGCGGTGTCGGAGAAGCCAGCGGAGACGTGGGCTGGAATCCTCCCTTGGGTATCGGCGGCGGTGGCGGCGGAGCTCCCAGAGGCAGGGCCGGCGCAACAGCCTGCGGAAGACTGGAGAGCGTGGCGCCGCGTTTGCGTGTGGAACGACGGACGTCGTCCAACGCCAGCATGCGGTTCTCCCCGGGCAACGGCGGTGGCGTACGGCCCTCCTCCGTCATCTCCTGCATGGGCGACGTGGCCGCACTCTTGCTCTTCATACCGGCGAAGCGCTTCCGCTTGAAGCTGCGGCTCTCCTGTCGGCGTGACAACGAGTCCAGCGTGGCGGCCCGGTTGAAGAACGAACGCCGGAAAATGCTGGTGTCCTCGCGTCCGGAGAACTCCTCCTCGTCGCCTGCAGTCGGCCATGTTGGCACAGCAAGGGAAACACACAGGTATGCATGCGCAGACATACGTGCAGACATGTGGACAGGCATGCACACACACATATGCAAGTACGCGCACACACACACACACACACACACACACACACACACACACACACACACACACACACACACACACACACACACACACACACACACACACACACACACACACACACACACACACACACACACACACACACACACACACACACACACACACACACACACACACACACACACACACACACACACACACACACACACACACACACACACACACACACACACACACACACACACACACACACACACACACACACACACACACACACACACACACACACACACACACACACACACACACACACACACACACACACACACACACACACACACACACACACACACACACACACACGATTTACACCCAAAACAGCGCAACCATAAACGGCGCGTGTTCATATTAGCACCCCCAGTACAGCGCAACGTAATGTGACACGGTGTCACTACAGCTCGTCTCATCTCTTGCACGCCCCATTTTGGCGCGACCAATTACGTTAACGTCCGAATATAAGCCAGCTCATTACACACGTGACCCATAATCTGCAGGCTCATGTTAGCAAGAGTGCATAACCAGTTTTATGTACTCTTGATGTTAGTATTACCATGGTGGATATCAGGAGCAAACCCGTTCCTAAAAAAGATATGTAAAAAAGAGAAGAAACACATGAGAACGAGTTGTGCAGCAACTATCCACGACTGTAACAAGATGATAAACAGTCAGAAAGTGACTGTGCGATAATAGGGCACGAAACTGACAGGCTACTGAGACATTCAGCGGCCCGAAACCTAGCTCTAACACATCTCCAGTGCGCAAACCAACCTTCCAACTTGGAAGGTTCGTGGTTACGTAGGACCGAAGAAGGGAAGATGAGCGGAGCGAAAATTCTGAATATTTACCTTGTTACAGTCGTGGGGGGAGACTGTTGACCATATTCTGGCATGTTGCCCCGTGTTGGCACGGACAGCGAGTTTGTTTCGGGGCCAGCAGAAGCACAATCACCTCTTGCAGCTGTGGTGACTTGTTAACGTCCAAGCCATTTCGTGACTCTGCCCACAATTTGTTCATGGATTCGCTCCAGGCAATATCGCCATTTAACGTCTTTTCTTTGCTCTATTCTCTTTACCAGGCGTGGGCCATCCCCTGGACTATCAAAAACTATCAAAATGGGTGCCTTATTATTTTTCTGTTTCAGTCCATCACAGATTACCATTTTCGGAAAACCAAAATATGTAATACTGAACTAGCGTTTTTCGAGACGATCATTGCTTTTTTTGAGTTGATCATTGCTTTCTAGAGTTGATTACAACCTACATCTGGACTTGGTAACGTCCAAGCAATCTCGTGACTGCCCACAATTTGTTCATGGATTCGCTCCAGGCAATATCGCCATTTAATACTGAACTGCACTGTGTCCCCATTGTCCATGTACATGTAGTACTTCCTGTGAAATACCCGTCTTTTCTTTTCTCTATTTTTTCTCTCTACCAGGCGTGGGCCATCCCCTGGGCTATCAAAATGGGTGCCTTATTATTTTCTTTTTCTGTTTTAATGACAATCCATTGAAGATTACCATTTTCGGAAAACCAAAAAATTTAACAGTGAACTGTTTTTTGAGACGATCATTGCTTGTTTTGAGTTGATCATTGCCTTCTAGAGTTGACTACAACCTATTCGTATCTGGACCTGTCCAGGCAATATCGCCCTTCAATACTGAACTGGCCATTTCGAGTTGATCATGATTTGAGTCTTTGACAAGTCGAGTGTCCATCTTTTGGGTTTGAGTGTAAATGAGTCGACCTGTATTGAGCGTGCGCGCTGACGGGGTGGTCTGTTTTGGGGATGTCCAGTTATGGGGATGGGGCTTTTGGGGGGCGCTGAAGTCAACGGCGCTGTTTTGGGTCGCGCTCATGTGGGGGCATACCACACATACACACACACACATACACACAAACACACACACGCACACACACACACAAACACACGCACACACACACACACAACAAGCGCAGTGGTGTACTAGCTGTGCTAGTACTTGTTAGCAACAATCCGAACTAGCGCACACACTGCACTGCATTGCTTTGTACTGCATTCAAGACTGACGTCATGCGCTTTGTTTTGCTGCGTAATCACAAATGGCACCAGCCCATTTTGCGGAAAAGAAAAACAAATCTTGCTTGCCCTGTTGTGCTCTTCCAGACAACGGATCGTGCTTCAGCAGTGTTTCTTTTCCTTTCGTAGCTTTGCTGCCAGCCCGAGTGTCACCTCGACACTGTATTTCTTCAGTATGTCTGACCTAACTGTCGACACTGTCAAGGCAATGCCTTGCCAAGCCCCCGCGGCGAGCCTTCTTAGCGCGGCTTGAATCCGAAAGGAAACTTAGTAAAAGTATTTTACAGGACCGTTTGCTGGCACAACTAGCCCTTGGTAGTGAGGTCTGCTCCGGCCAGGAGAACCAGCAACATGACAGCGCGGACACGGCTCGCGAGCCCAGAAGCCCGACTTGCACCAATGCCTCCTCCGCCAGCTCAGGTGACGCGGGCTCAACGGATCTCTGCGCTCCCGTAGATCTACGTGACGAGGTGTAGTCGGCTTTGTCGGCCGCCATTTTATTATTATCGGAGAACATTGTGCCGCTCCTCACCCAAGGCCAAGGCAATGCGGCTGCTGCCGCCACTACGCCAGGCCAAGCCCTTGTAACCCACCCGATCAGCCACCTGCACCAGCTGTGCCCAAGGCTGTGCAAGAACGTATCTTGCGAGGGGAGTTCGTAGATTTTTCAAGTTGGTTGCCTGAAATTCTTGCACACTTCCGGCCCAACATTCCGGCTGGTGCACAGCCCGAATAACGATAGCCAGCTAAATATCGTTGAGTCGGATGACCGTACGCGAAGCAGGTGCGTCGCAAGGTTCACGATAATTATACATGTAACTACCCGGCTCGAGGCATGGACCACATACATGTCTGTTATCACGGTTGCTGCCCTACACCGCACTGCTGAACTGCTGAGCTGATTGCGTACCAGCAGTTGATCCTGACTGCTAACCGCCAGTTCTTCCCAAGCGCGTGGCTAGAGTACGACCGCCAGCTGCGGCTGCTCGTGGCCCAGTAACCAGGCACGAAGAGGTTGGACACCATCGACGTGAACCTATGGCAGATAGCTGTCACAGGCCATGCACACCCAATATGCGCTCAATGTAAGACGGCCTATCCAGGGGCAGTTTGTGTCCTTTTCGTCCCCAAGCCAGCAGCATTTACCTCCAGTGGTCGCAACCATACCAGCGACAGCCAAGAAATCTGCCGCAACTTCAATGGAGGTCGCTGTTCTTCGTCGTCGTGCCGCTTCTCCCGCACCTGCAGCCAGTGTGGCAAGGACCACCCATGCATCATGTGCAACCAGCAGCAGCGCGGAGCCAATCGGCCACCCCGCCGCTCCTAGCAGAATGGCTACTGAATAGCTTGACTCGGTACGTATCTTTCCTATACACTCTGCAGACACCACACTGCTAGCTGACCACTTTGCCCGCCTGTTACGTAACCACTCATATCAATAAGGCGTTGCGTATGTTCTCCATGGGCTGCGCCGTGGCTTTACTCTTGGATCTGCCGGCCAACACGACATTTCGGTTTTCTCTAATAATCTACCCTTGGCTTTCACTCACTCGGCATTTATATCCGAGCAATTAGCTGCTTCCTGCGCCCGCAGCGAGACCACAGGCCCATTTTCCGTCACCTCCATTTCAGTTCATGCGCCACTCTGGTATTGGTGCCATCCCCGAAAAGAACGGCAAGCTGCGAATGATCCACCATCTGTCTAGTCCGGAAGGCACCGGCGCGAACGACAGCATTCCTGCCGAGCCGCTCTCTCTGCACTACGCGAGCATTGACAACGCGATCAACATCATCATGTCATGCCCACAGCCTGTGTATTTGTCCAAGCTCGATGTACGCAGTGCATTTCGGCAGATCCCAGTCCGCCGTCAGGACTTCGCTGGGAAGGCTCCTACTACTACGAGCGCTTTCTGCCTTTCGGCCTCCGCTCCAGCCCAGCCGTCTTTGACTCAGTAGCCACAGCAGTCAACTGGATCATGCAGCACGAGTTTGCTATAGATCACCGGCTTCATTACCTCGATGACTTTCTCGATATCTCCACTGGTTTGGCTGCAGCCAACCAGCAACTCACCACCCCCCTCCGGGCATTCACGTATCTCGGCACTCCTCTTTGCTCCATCCCAGCTCGAGGGCCATCACCATCATTGACCTTCCTTGGTATTTTCCTAGACTGCGGCTACCAGAGGACAAGCTGTCCGAGATCCGTGCGCCACTCATGGCTACTATCAGCGAGCGCAGCATCGGCCAGCGTCAACTCGAGTCCCTCCTGGGGAAGCTCACTTTTGCTGCCCGAGTCATCGTTCCTGGACACACATTCATGCGTGAACTATGATCAGCGTGCCCTGAACTGTATCTGTGTATGCGAGTGCGGTGCATAAAGCCCACCTTGAGAATGGGTTTGCCGGCCCCTTAGTAGATGCGTGGCTTCTGGAGAGGGTGTTGAAGGGCATCCAGCGATGCCATGGTACGGCTGTACTCACCCCTCGCCTTCCTATAACTATGCCAATCCAACGACACCTGACAGATGAACGCCGGAAAAGTAGTATCCTGAATGGCCATGACAAGCTGCTCTACCAAGCCGCCATGCTGCTTCTTTGGATTTCTTCGGTGTGCTGAATTCACTAATGGCATCACACGGGGCTGTACTAGCTCCCCTGGTGACGGAAGCCTGCAACTCTTCCTGCTTTCATCCAAGACGGACCTATTCGGTAAAGGCGTTACTAGTGACATTGGCCCGTCTGTACCGCCGTACTGCCCGGTCCGTGCCATTGTTAGCTACCCATTTGCCACTCG